ATGCAAAACTGCATAGAGAAATCCTCTGTTTGTATGAGAGGCAATCAGTGTTTACCAAATGTTGTCAATGACCACAGCACCATGTAAAAAATGTTGATCACCTTTATTTTGTTTCATAAACAAAAAGTCTTAAGACTTGCTTTAATGACCACTGTTATCCTGACCATGACTGACAATGTGGTGAAGGGATTTAACTGTTTACCAGAAGGGAGTTTCTTTCTTTTTTTTAAACATGTAAGTGCACAAGCCAGTCTGACTCGGACATCCGTGGGCCATCGTAAAATATAAAAGTCTCTGGTTTGTAGAGATAGTGTCTGATATGTCTGAATGACTAGACTTTAAAAACACTGGAGAAGGTTTTCTCGCTTCATTGCAGTCCAGTCCTTGTGCACACGAGCTTCGTGCGTCAGTTTGCCTCGTTCTTTGACGCTTCATCAAAGTTCTCCACGAGATCTGCACAACAACGACATGTCAGTTATTACATTGGAAGAAAACAGCTTTGTGGATGCAAAAATAACCAGTGGATAAAATAAACTAACCCCTTTATAGAGTGGATCTTTTTTTTTATTAAACTAGATAATAAATTTTATGGATTATTTAGAAAATATAATAAGCATTTAAATAATGATCACATCCTGGGGTAGCATTATGAGAATTGGTGGAAAAACATCTGATGGTCCATACCTGGAACATCATCATCCTCTTCCTCAATGTCCTCTGCTTTTGGAGCCTTGCTGTCAAGAGCTGAAATGAAACATACAAATAAAAAAAACATATTATAGCTTTAGTTTTGGGTATTAAATGATTGTTACAATAAGTTTAAGTGTGGTTATTTTATATATTGTTATTATTGTCAACAAATCCCATGAAAAGAGCAAAACAAAAATGTATTCATCCTAACTAATATTTTCTGCCTGAGCTCCAACGCTGTCCAAAAACTATTAAAAACACTTCAGTGAGCGTCACATTTACACTGGGTAATATGTTTAATTAGAACATGGGTACTGTATTTTGAGTTGATCCAACCAACACCGTCCTGCTGCTGTTAATACTCAATAGAACAAATGTATATTAATCCACCACTGAAAATAGTCCCCAACAAATACACTATTTACACATGTTTGAGTTAAGTTTGCTACAAAACTACAGAGCCCTGTTGTTTTAGCACATTATTGTTATTATTAAAAAATGAAACTATACAACTGTGAAATGTTTTCAAACATTAACATCACGTCTTCACTAGAAAAGAATGGGCTTGTGGCAGAAAGCCACAGAGAGGACGGGGAAGTCAGAAAGTCCTGAGAAACTGACTACCTTGGTTTTGGTATTTTATGGGATTTGTTGACAATAAAACTACATACAATAACAACAGCCTAATATTTTCATTTACAAAGAAAATCATTGTCTTAAAGAATCAAGAAGCATCACTACGCCTCTGTAACATGGCTGATACTGTATGACATAACTTTAAGGGATATATACACAACACCATAACGCTGCATGCAAAAATTATTTCTAAGTAGTAGGTATGGTGTCTAAGACAGAGCTCCCCTTTTACAGTGATTATGAAATGTCAAGGAGGTCTAAGAGGTCCGGGAGCACCCACCTTGCCGAGGGAACTGTTCAGCCAGCTTGCGCAGGCTGCTGAGGCTGTCCGCTCCCAGCTGACTGAGGATTCCGGGGAGCATCTCCGTCAGCTGCTTGGTCTCAGCGTGGCCCGTGATGGCGAAGGTGTTAGCAGACAGAGAGGCCTGAACTTTGGGGTTGTTGAAGTGGATCACAGTCCCGTCATCTTTGATCATGTTCACCTGAGAGGAGAAGACCACTCTGACTTACTTATCCAAAAAGATATCAATGTGAAAAACCTCAAAGCAGACTGGTCTATATAGCTGCGAAAGAATGCATTCATGCTCTAATCAGAACGGATTAACACAATCACATTAATGTAAAGATAAGCTAACATTCAGGGCTCCCTTATGCAGAAGTTCCAAACCAATGTACCTCCTCAATTCCAGCAATATTGTTGACAGCCAACTTTTTTAGTGAACTCTGAAGCTTTTTGTCATCAGCTGTTGCAGTTCTGTGGACCACCTTCTTCTTCCTGCGCGCAGATCCCTAAAATCAAAGTAGACATAAGACTCCTAAAGGACAGCGACGTGAAGCTTTGAATAACAAGAGTGAATTAGGCTACAGGAGCAACATAGCCTTTGGTGTATTACAGTATACAAGGCTCTTGAATCAATACACATATGAATCAAACGTGATCCTGTTCAAAACCTGCTGAGATTCAGTGCTGCAGTCAATAGCCGGACATATTTTTGAGGCCGACACATAAATGTATGAACATAATACAGTAAAAGAGAGTCAATAAAGATCCCTTAAATTTGGGTGCCCCGCCAGTTCACCTGATAGAATGCATAACAAGGCTGAGACCTCACTACAGCGGCCTGGGTCGGAGTCCAGACCCCATTGCTGCATGTTATTCCCCTCTTTCTCCTCCACCTTTGTGACCGAGATATGTACTAAGCGGGACATTTTGCAGTTGAAAAATAAACTTGTCAAGGGCATCCAGTGGACAAACTATGTGATGGTGTCACAGTTTCTAAACTATCTGTATTTCGCAATTTCTTGCTCTCAGCCGACACATGTACCATAGCAACATATCCTTGATGAGCTAAAATAAGCTGATATATCGGCCCGGCAGATTTCTTGGTGGAGCTCTACTGCCGTCTTCAAGGTGAGTGGGCATCTGCTGTTTTTGTCAATAAATATTTTTTGTTAAATGTTTTTATTTTATGTTACACTGTCACTGAATAATGACTCTATCTGTGTCAGGCTCCATAATTTCAAAGAATGAGTATAATATTTGAATAAATGTGACAGTAAGCCATAATCATCTGAAAAGGGGGATATAACTCCCATTCTGAGACACTCTATATTTATTTTGGTGCATTAAGAACGTATTATAATGTGTCAATAACATACTGATTTATACTTTCAATAAGTAAAACATTGTAAATAGAACGTAACAAAAACAAAACGTAACACCAGTCTTTATGGCTAGATGTATGTACGTTTTGGCATAAAATTGTTTATTTGACATAATTAAAACATTAAATCACACACACAAGTGTCATTATTTCCTTCTGGTTTGAGTGTATGATCTCACCTACATTAGTACATTAGAAATCAGTCCTGGTCCAGTATGCAACTTATACCAGTGTGATGTAGAAACTTGAAGCCGCCTGTCCACAGACACTGAGAATGGACTAGTAGGAATAGGAGGAACAACATTTGCATAATCATATATTTTTTATGAGGTAGAAGGAGTAGATGTCTTTTTAACGATTTTAATGTGGAAATTATATATTTATACACACTTTTTTTGGCAGAATAAAACATATCAGACACACATTATGGCTCCGAGCAAACCATTTGTATATGTGTCTTAATGCACGTCTGCACTACATCTCGCACATTGCAAATATCCCTTAATGCTTTATATTGGGAACCTGCACATTTCCTGGACAGATTGTACAGCTCTTCAGTTAAATGACGATCATACTGTACATGCTGTCCTTTAATATTTATATATTGTCTCTTTTATTCTATTTATTGATATTTTTCTCACACTATGTTCATCATTATGCACCAATATACCAAAGCAAATGCTGATTAACGTCACACCTCCCCAATCAAAACAACAGACCACTTCCTGGGTGTCAACTTACCTTTCCTCCTATCCGGACCTGGGCTTGAAGTTTTGCTAATTTTTCTTGATTCATGTTCTCACCTACAACATGGAGAGACATTTTTTGTTTTTAGATATTGTTAAAAATAAATACATGTTACGTTTAAGAAGCTAAACAGCTAGCATGCTGCTGCTTTCCCTGTCGACTGTGAGCTGCAACAACAACACGAAGAACACAGGAACAGAGAAAAACTGCTTTTATCTACGAGGAGAGGAGACCAAGCTGATACAATAATAACTCTAACTTGTCAGCAGACTGTCTGTCTGTCTGTGTTTGTGTGTCTGTCTGTGTTTGTGTGTGTGTGTGTGTGTGTCTGGTTAGCAGCTGCAGAGATGAAAACACAACACAGGCCCCAAACACACAGCTGTGTCACTGCTCCGCTCCGACCGCACACACCAACGACCGCACGCTCCTCAAACACCGCACATTACACACACATTACACACACATTACACACACATCTAAACTTATCTTCCCAAACCTGCTCAAATGTCCACAGAGACATGCGGTACTGAAAGATGGAGGTTATGAGGAAGAGGTTACGTCACACACCATACGGTTTTTTCTTCTTCTTCGTTTCCGAACAGCTGGAGGGATTTGGGCGTCGTGCTGCCCCCTACAGGACACTTTGTGAAGTACACTAACCCCCCCCCCCAGTAAGAGGAGATGATGCACACAAAAGCTGCTCTTTTTGAAACACGAAGCCCCTGTAGACTTTAAAACTAATGGTTTGCTTTTGTATACAGAATAAAGATATTATGGGGAAATAAACTAACCAAACCATTCCTCCTGCATCATTATATTCCTCTATAAACAAAGCACTAGTTGCATAGGGAGCCAGAAGCCTTGAAGGGTGGCTCTCACAGATGTGTGAGCAGTGCGCCACCTAAAAGTTAAATGCAATTTAAAAGCAGCAAGAGCTGCGATTAGCAAGAGTTGTGCCAACACATAACCAAATCCAAATTTAATTAATCAACACATAAAATCATTTAAAAGTGAAATGAATTAACAATAATGAATATAATTGATTGGAATTGAATCATTATAATTGATTATAACTGAAAACTGAATATATCTATAATTATACTGGTGCCACGCTTAAGACTCCATAGAGAAAGAGACAGACAGACAGACAGACAACCTCCACCTAGAATAACTGCCCTCTAATACACATCTCCCTGACTGTCACCCATTATAACATTTTTAAGACAATTCAATTTGTAACATTTTGATTTGTGTTTTCCATTTTCACCTTTATTACACAAAGGTGTAATACAGTTCAGCCCAAAGAAATTGAAAAGATTACACAAGAGAGAGATGCTACAAAAGCACTACAAAAACATCACATTTACAATTACCTACAAGCAGATCGCTGACTGACTGACAGGTCCACTTCTGTCTGGTTTCATTCTGTTCTGCTCAACCTATATAAACTGCATTAACCATCCAAAATGTTGAGATCTCACATGTAGCCTGCATCAGCTGATTGATTTGATCATAATAAAGAATCCCTATCACCTTACCATTCACATGTGAGGTCAAAAACACAGTATAGAACTTGTTTTAGGGCTACTGCCAGTAACAGAAATAACACAATAAGCGCAGGCTGGAGCTGCCATCGGGAAATTTCAGCAGCATTAAACACAAAGAAGGAAACTTTTCCAAAAAAGCGCAATAAAGGAATGACGGAACCAACCAAACTGTGGCTGGATATTTCCTGAGCACTGTGAACATTTCAGATATGTTTTGCTCAGAGCAGCTGATGCATTAAACAGAGCTGAAAAGGTTAATCCCACATTATACAATAGACCACAATACTTCCAGTTCATGGTGATCATTTTACAACTCCAAAGAGAACATGAAAACCAGCTTTTATAATGTTTGTGATGAGCACAATACATTTGATAGTCTTCGTTTTTCTCACAGGTGTTCTCAGATCGTAACACTGTGACCAGGGTTCAGGTGATGGATTTGATCGTAGTGTCTGACAGAGGAAATCTACCGAGGCAGCGGCAGTCAGACGGGCCAGCACCTGAGTTGCTGGTCTCCATGGAGCTGCGGAGCATACTGCGCTGCCAGCGGTGTAGGTAATGAGACTTTGGGCCCCAGCAGCTATGGAACAACATGAAGATTTTCCTCAGGACAGCCTTCCGCAGCAGGATGTAGACCCAGGGGTCCAGGATCTGGTTCCATGTGGCCATACGTACCACCATCAGGAGACTGAAAGACGTAGGCTCATGTTTGGCTCTGGTGCTCAGCATGATGAGATGGATCTGGTGGTCATAAAATAATGGAAAGGAACAATAATTAACTTAAATTAAGATTGGGTTTGAGGCAGTATGTGATTGCAGTTTGTATGCAAATCCTTCAATAATTTATGAACTGTATATTCAATATAACTCATGTCTTTATTTAAGAAATGTTTAATATTTTCATTGACTGATTAAAAGCATTCCTCTGCATTGCACACAATGTTTTGGGAAGATATGCAAATGTTTTACTGGAGTAATAATTTATATTCAACGTTGACACAAATGAGTCTGTAAAGCAGTAATTAGGTTTTCCAACTTTGAAGACTGATGTTGTCTATCACTAGGCGTCTTCTCATCATCACTTATTATTCTCCACAAATATATAATGATTCAATACACAAACATTTGCATGATGATTGTGAAATCATAAACAAATAGTTACTGACCACAACTACAATTAATTACAGCAATGATAAAAATAGCTAGTGTTTGCTTGTATTAAAATTCCACTTCAATCTTACTCAATCGTGTTCTTCCAGCAAACTCACCAAGGTTTGTTGTCATTGGTAACTGTACTAAAAGCAGCTGTTTATTCAGATTACTTGAAAAACAGTAACTTAACTAAGTTTCTGAAGCCCCTTTATATGTGCTGTGCCATGTTTAGTGCAAATTGGTCAGCAAACAAAATAACCGAAAGAACATTTCAGCACACTTTCTGAAGTCATACTGCGAGTACCATAAAAAGAGATAAATAGAAGTGTTTTACCCTAGAACTGTAGTGGATGAGGAGGGTGGAGTGTATCAAGCTGATGGTGTAGATCACAGTGTACTTCTGAAAGCAATGTTTTATAGAGAGCACATTTGTAGAGCGGGGAGTGGGAGCTTAAAATGCACGTCTTGTTCAACCAGGAAGTGGAGATTTTGAAAGACAGGAGTTAGTGTGTGTGTAGGTGTGCTCTGGACATACTGCAGTTTTTTTTTGGACTTTAGAGGAAAGGTCATACAGTATAACTATTTGAGATTGGTGTCATAAATGAATCGATGAAATCTTCAGCAGCTAAGAATGAGTGGGATGCACTGATTGAAAATGAAAAGCAGCAGTGCGAAAAACAATCATCACATATCATGGATAATAAAACCTGCCATGTTTTTGTCTCATTTCCAAACCCATTTACTGTCACTTTGTGCTCAGCAATGCTCAAAATCCATGACAGACACACTGGCAAATTGGAGATGTGGTTTAAAGATCACAAAAATGATGGCATGATGGAATATAAATGTAAAGATAATGGATAATTACTAACAAATTGAGATCAGTTAATATATAAGCCTGGATTAGAGAATGTAATAGGTAAATGTAGGTAAATTCTTACCAATAATGGACCCCAGCACACACAGGATACCAACATGATAGCCAGCAGCTGGCAGATCATCTCTATGTGGTAGGATGTGCCTCTACAGTGATGCTTGCGTCGCAGTCTGGCCTGTAGCAGAGCACAGCTTGTCAGCGTATTACACACAATGGAGAGCAGTAGGGCCAGCAGCCCTAGCATAGAGAAAAGCAGAGGCAACAGCACATCCAGCCAGTCTTTGGGTTCCTCCATATGGAAGAAGCACCAGCTCCTGGATCTCTGAACTTTGTAGGGTCTCCACAGAAGCACCGGCAGCACAGCCACCAGGGCAGCGAGCAGCCATGTGAGTCCCAGCAGCCTTTTCATGTGGTGGGAAGCTAATGCTGTGGAGTGGAAGATAGGCCTGGTGACTCCAATGCAGCGCTCCACCGCCATGGCACTCCCCAGCAACAAGGGGCTCAGGCCAAAGAACACCATGCACGCCCCGAAGACGCTGCACACGATGCGGTGAGGGTCAAACGTCTCCCATTTCTTGTGGGAGCTGTAGACAAAAAGCACCAGGGAGCCGTTGATGAGGTGACCCAACAGGTCTGTGATCACCAGGCTGCTGGCAAATAGCAGGAAGGACGCCTTGGACTTGATCCGGATGCGGTTGTAGGATTTGATGAGGATGAAGAGGGCAAGGCTGTTGGAGAAGATGCCCACGCTCATGGAGATGGCGGAGGCGGTGACAGACAGTTCTTTTTGGCTGCAGGTGTTGTTGCTTGGTCTGATCTCTGACCTGCAACCTGTCTCTAAGCTCCCATTGCCTGACATGGTGAAATGAAATCTGCAGGAGAGAAGAGATGGAAGATGGGATGCATGATTCATTTGTACCAACATATTTGGAATACAATTTCTTTATGAATGTAGTCTGGTGCAGTGGTAGAAGAAGTATTCAGATCCTTTAAGTAAAAATACTAATACCACTTTGGGAAAATAATTAAGAAAAAGTATGTAAGCTAAAGTATCATAAAGTGAAAGTACTTACTGCGCAGAGAAATGGTCCCTGTCAGTGTTTATTATTATATATGATGTTTTGGATTATACTTTCGCATTGAATGTTGAGTTTTATAGCTTTAGATGTTTAAGGTTTAGCTCAATTCAATTCGATTGTAATCTGAAAAGTAACTGTAAAACAAATGTAGTGGAATACAAATTACAACTTTTTTTGCCTCTGAGATGTAATAAAGCAAAAGTATAAAGCTGCATAAAATGCAGTACATAGACTTTGTAGTTAAGCACAGTACTTGAGTTACTCGCTCTTGTGCTTCAACCTGAACCTGTTTCACTGATGTAGAGCAGACGCTCAGATTTATAATCAAATTTAGCGAAGTAGGGGTAAATATACCAGCAATTTCCAGGAATTATTTTTGAACAATAAAAAATAAGCACAATTAAGTTTTCTTTCATCAAATAAAAATGCCAATAGCATAATATGTAAAATGTCCCATATTCACATAAGCCAGTAGCGTTTATTAAAGGACCCGACTGGTTAAAATCTGGCACAGCTCCTTACCTCAGGTTTGGTCTTCACTCACACAGTTCGCCATAAGTCAACAACCTCTTCACTCTCTTTTAAGTCTTTTACGATAGGCAATAAAACAAATCGACAAATTGTCTGTCCGGCAGTAAATGCCATTAAAGGTCCCGAAACTGCTCTCCTCAATATTCCTGTCGAGGCAGCGACGTGTGCAACTTGTTCCGTCTGCGCTCCGCCAGTGCCAAGTGGGCGAAGCCAGTGAAGGCGGACGAGCTCCAGTCTGCGAAGTATCAGCTCCAAACTCAAACCCACCTTAGAGACTGTGCACATTGGTCGCATTTGTCGCATTCTTCAAAAATCAGTCTGTTCTTTTGTTTTAGTGAGGACACTGGCTAGACATTAAAACGGAAATAACTGCGCACTGATAAACTGTTGCCAAAATACGCATGCCTATTTTAAACTGTGTGTTTGTGGATCATGTGAAATTAATCCAAAAGTCACTATTTTCTTGAGGGCTACATATTTCTGTATCCTTGCAAGAAAAAAACCAACCTTTATTTTATTTTGTCTGCTTGTAGTTGGATCATCCTGATGCTTTTGTCTGCATCACAGAAACAACTTCCCATGGTGTCCTGGAGGCTGTGTCTGTGACACCATAAAATCACCTGCTGGTGACTGAAGTCATCTTGTTTGTACTGTGTTGTATAAACCTAACAAAAGATAGATATTTTTTCCCCCAAAAAAATATACACCAAATTTCACAATAAAACATATAAAACAATAATTATATGCCAAGTGTTATTATTAAACTGTCTTTGTATTGTTATTCATTTATTTTTAATTTGTCAGGATGGATTTACAGCCATGTCTGTCTTCAAATAGAAGGGATCATTTGGCCACTGATGCCCAAACAAACGTCATTTGAACTATAAAGAGTATAATAATTGATTTTAAACTATTAAGACTTTTTGACCCCAGTGAAATCAGCAGTCTACTTTTCCAGGGGATGATGACACGGACTCAACATTGCTGACAGACCAGAAATTAAGTATAGTAAAAGTCTCATGAAAGGAAAGAAAAGTGCTCCAAAAAGGAGAAAGGGTCAGGGGCCAAACAAAAAAACCTTGAAATTAAGCACAGAGTTCCTTACAGAGTCTGACCCAGCAGAGAGCAAATTATTGACTTTTGTGTGAGGTGGCAATTAAAGACTGATTAGAAAGGAGTACAAGTAATTCTGAAGCAGATACAAATATATTTTACATGAAATTAAAAAAAGCAATTCAGAAATTTCTGCCAATAATTAGTCATTACCCAGCAGAGGACATACTTGTTTGTTCCCACAGGAAACTTCTCAGTAAATGGTTGAGTTCAGCTGTCAAAATAAACCTTTTTTAACAGTTTTTCAAATAATAATAAAAGAGTACTTCACTGATTTAGCACTGCATTCCTATAACACTGTTGGGCTCATGAGGGGCAGTTTATGAGCAAGGATCAAAACTAACACAGCAGAACCAGAGATATTGAAGATTTGGGTATGTTATGGTAGTAGCAGCTAATGTAGCCGTGAGCAGCTAACCTCATGAGGAGCGGGCTACAGAGGTCTGGTAAGTTCTCCACAGCCAGTTTTTCATTTTCTAACTTTAGTCATGGTACATCACTTGAGGTAATTTATAAGATAATATATTCAATCAGCTCTCTCTGAGACACAAAAGACTTTACGCAACTTTTATACGCTGTACTTCCCGAACCTGTAAACAGACAAATAAACCATAAAAAAACCTATTGGATCAATTGAAACAGCAGTGCTACAAAGCTAAAAACATGATTGTTTTGTTGACATTCTGGAGATATATGGTTTCTACAGAACAGTGACAATTATGCAAATTCTCCAAATATGTGTGTTATTGGAAGCCTAGATGTCTGTTCTTCCCTCAAACCATTCAAACAATTGACACTTCCAGAAAGCTCAACATTTATATCCATCATCTCTAAACAATACTATCAATGTATTATATACTATATAAACTATTATATATACTACTAATAATAATAATAATAAGAATATTGTATTATTAGTAATAATAATTACTACTACTACTACTACTACTAATAATAATAATAATAATAATGTATCATTAGTAATAATAACTACTACAACTACTACTAATAATAATAATAACAACAACAGTAATAATAATAATAATAATAAAAAGTAGAAAAAGAAGAAATTTGTGTGCCTGAATGCTTGGTGCATATCCGAAAAGAGAGAAGATACAGCTACTGTTTGGGAATGTATTTTGAAAAACTAAGTATAGCCTATATGTAGAGTCCTGTTAAGATAGTTATTATATTTTTATAATTATTATATTATTACATTGTTACAGCCTCATCCTCATTTTCCAGTTAAGATACATCTACTTTCTACTTTTATTTAGAAAAATTAGGTACGTCCCTTGCCTCCTGTTAACAAGCCATTGGGTTCTTTATTTCGAAAAACAAGGGTCATCCTGCGCTTCCTGTTAAAATACACTTACTCTATCTCTCTCTAGAGTCTCTCTATCTTGAATATTAGAAGATTTGAATGTAGTTTGAAGTCACACTCTTTTAATTATGTCATCTTAATCAGCTGTGTGCTCCTAACTCCAAAGAAGGGTTGCCATGGCAATGGTACCTGCAGTGTGTCTCCTGGTACAGAGGCTTCATTTAATAGAGATTTTTGCTGAGGCACACCTGTCATGATTATGCTTCTAGAGCCCACACCGTAACTTCTATCACCACAATGGAGATATTTTCAGCAAGACGAGAGCCTGCTGACCACATCTGGTGAGATTTGTGTTTGTAAAGTAAAAAATGTGACCACACTAGCTGTTGGAAGAAGAAGAAGTGGCTGCTTCTGCTTCACTCCTGAAATTTCCTCTCCCACTTAATATGGAAGTTAATGCAGCTGTGGGTTGGGGGCTCCTGCTGCTTGGAAGCTCATAAAGACGAAGGTGTAAGTCAGTTTTCCTCCACAGTTACATGTCTGTGACTGGCACAAACATTTTGTTGTATTTTGTGTGTATGTGCTAGCAACACTGCGGGACTAGACAACAACATAAAACAAGATAAAACATTCAGAAGAAGAAAAAGATGAAATAAGTATGGAGAAGAATAAACAGTGTGCTAATATGCATTGCACATTCAGGCACGCTGAATTATAATCTACAGTGGGAATGTGTTTTGTATTTTTATAATGGCTGCACACATTGCTAACTCCATAGCTCTCCCTAAATTGTTTTTGGTGAGTTTTCATTTGTGCTACAAACTTTAATTCTGGAGATTCTCTCTTCTGACAAAACATAACCATCTGTTTGCAGTAGTTGTTTACACACACTTAAGAACTTGGTTATAGCACTTCGCTGGCTATGGAGAGAACTTGCCATAGACAGTCTGTCTGAGAGATATTTTGTCTGAGAAAGGAGGAAGTTTGAGCTTTTAAATGATGATTGTGTCATTACTTCAGTGAGGAAACCAAGTCGCATTCATATCCCACGTCTCCATGCTCACAGGAACAAATGTTAAAAACAGGGAACAAATAAGTTGTTGGAAGAGGAAAGCAACAGATAGAATAAACAATTTATTTCCTTAAGTTCCCAAGAGAATGCAAACCCACTATGCTTATCACGGCCACAAACTATGGGGTCAGCATATTGATTAATATTGTCTCCTGACGTCAACCTCGTGACTGGAAATGTTTAACAAAACAGTTCCTGAATATCAGCCAAAGAGCCAGGCAAGTGAGTCAGGCAACCTCTGGGTCACACATCAGCGAGAAACAAATATCACTTCATCCAGAACGGTGCTTGTAAACCAAATTTATCAACAGCTAAAAATATATTCAAAAGTGATCATTAGGAAACCAATCTGAACTGATGCTGGGCTTAATCCATGAAATGAGATTTCTAAACTTATTTTGTTCACAGAAATCATATCATTCTGTTGCTGTCAAAGTCATTCTTCTGTCTTTTCTATTTCAAACTCAGTGCTTTTGATGTGTTTCCAACCATAATTGAGCCAGGGTATTCATACATAGACTGCATAGTATTTCAAACTTTGACACTGAGTGGTATTTAATGAAAGTGAAATTGAAGTTTAGCTTGGAGTACTTTTCTCGACATCCAAATTATTGCATCACCCTGAAGTACTGTAATGCTTCATCTTGCCTGAAGTTCTGACTTTCCGTGCTCCAAAGCTTAATTTCCTCTATAATTCCTTCTTCAACAGAAGTTGTTTCAAATGTCCTCATCACTCTCCATTTCTCTCAGCAAGATACAGCTGAGTGGTAAGAAGAGTAAGGAGAGTCAGGATGAGGGTCGATCTACCGTCAGACTGCTGCTAAGAATATGTGAGAAGAAGTGGAAATGTGCATATCCAGATTTCTGTATTTCCTAAATTGTGTCCACTGGTACAAAGAAATAATGCAGAGTTTCATTGGAAATCTGTAAAAAATTGATGTTGCTCACCTTTGTTCATAAAC